ACCAAGGTGGAAAAATATTAAGAGCCCGAGTTGAAAGCCAGCCTTACTTATTTGAGGCTTCCCGGTGGATGCCACCTTTCTAGGTTAGCCCCAGCCCAAGCTGGGTTCCACAAGAGATTTAAACCCTGTGCCTGCAGCCGTCCATTATATAAAGTGAATTAACAGCCCTCCTGTAAAATGAACGAGCTGCTCTTTCATGCACCCAGGATGGGACTACAGTGAACCCTCGTTTATCGCGGTTAATCAGTTCTAGACCCTACCGTGATAAATGAAATTCCGCGAAGTAGGATTCCTTATTTGTAAATCAAATATTTTCGTAGTTAGAGCATAGAGGACATGAAAAAACACCCTTTAGTCACCATTACACTCGTATTACCCAATTTATTAAACGAAAAAGGGAAAATACAGTAAAACATTTTGGACGTTACAATGATCATTTATTATTTGTTATATTATTTATGGCATCAAGCGTGTACAGTATGAGCCAATCAGTGGCAGTAATGACAGAGCATGCGCTGTGACGCAAAAACCGCGATAGAGTGAAGCCGCGGAAGTCGAAGCGCGAAGTGGCGAGGGTTCACTGTACTTACGGGGACAGTCATTGGGATACCAAAGAAAATAGTTGCTCAAAGAAGAAAGAATTATCTGTAGGACTTAATTTTTTTTCATGTAAGCCTGCTTCAGAAAGACTGTTTTAAAGTACTAATCTGTCTTCCTGGGTAACAGTAGTTTTCGAGGTGGATGTTCCCAGGAAAGAAAGTCCAGGTTATCAGGGACTAGCACAAGAGGGAGCTGTTGTTTGGGAAGCTGCAGTTTCTTTTATGGTGATGGGAAATTTGGCATCAATTGGGGGTGATGTTTGTACAACATGGTTAAGGTATTGAATACCTATAAATTGCTTGTGTGAAAAATGTTGAATTGGAAAATACATATTTTTATAATAATCAAAACCACAACAGAGCCTGTTGTAAAATTCTCAAGAAATTAAAGAAAACAATCTCTTCCCTCATTTAACGAAGATGGGCTTAAGTAAAGTATTCACAGAACCATCCCAACAGTGGTTTCCTGCATAGTTTCCATAAGTAACTTTCCTGCCAAAGATGATATTACTGCTCAGAGCAGAAAATGTTCAGAGAAGACCGTAGGGCCTCCACCACAAGACATGATGTCCCTCACTGACCCATAGCGCTACTGGGGACAACACTGGAGACACAGTGCAGGAATTGTACCCAATCTGACCCCATTACACTGGGGCGAAACACTAAGGGCATGCAACAGAGCAGCCAGGAGAGAAAAACGATGGAATTCATGGGGAATACCAAAAATAGATGTTGGAGACAGTGTGGCACCCCATCAGACTCGACTGGAAAACACTCATAAAGGCCAACAAACAGACCTTGAACTATTTATAGGCCTTTCCATTTTTGTCGGTGGCTTTCATTCGATTGTTTTGTTGTTGTTTTGGTCTTGACTTCCTTTGTTGTTTTTTGGATTTGCCTGGGTTTTTTTGCACTTATTAATGTATCTGTATGTCTATCTAGATAAGATAGGCGGGATAAACAATTCGGAGAGGAAAAGAACGGGACCAATGGTTCGGGGGGGATATGGGAGAAGGGGAGGTGGGAGGAAGGAGGTGGGCGGCAAACCAACCCAGAGACAAGGAAAGATGAGAGTAGGATGCCTAGTGGGCCTTAATCAAAGGCAATGTAACAGCGAGGAATTACTAAATCCAAATGAAGGCTGAACATGATGGTGGGTCAAGAGGAAAGTAAAAGGAAATAGAGGAAAGAACCAGGAGGCAAAGGATATTTATAGAGGTCTAAATACAGGCATGTACATATGTAAATATATTTATAAAAAACGAGAGGGGAATAGATCTATGTACTGATATCCATATGTTAAGAATTAAGGTTGCATGATGAGACATACAACTTTCCTCTAGTTCCTAAATACTTCCTCCCTACCCACTATCATGATCCCACTTCTACCTTGCAAATCTGGCTAGACCAGAGGATGTACACTGGTACAG